GGAGTTGGGATGATGCGGACATTGGGAGTTCATTATCTTGTCGAAGGTGTTGACGCGGGAACGTTGTCGGGAAGACGGAGAGGTCGTTGCCACAAGTTCTTCGGGCTTACGCTTGCGATCCTTGTGGTTGTTACTTCCACTCCCTCCTGCGGTCGGCGTATCCTTCTTTGGCTTCCAAGTGATGCCCGACTGCTTGAACGCCGTGATAGCATCTTCGGCTTTGGCATACTCATAGACTTTTTCAAACATCTGCTTGACCGTCTTGGGAGGTTTGCGTCCGAACTTGCCGACTAGGTCCTCGTGGCGAATGCCTTTAGTAAAGGCGGCAATGATGACGTCGTCGGTGATGTCGGAGATCTTGTTGCGTTGCTCAGAGAAGCGTCGAATGTAATCTCGAAGAGACTCTCCAGACTTCTGAATGATGTTGTAGAGATCGAAGTGTGTACCAGGCCGTTCAAAAGTGCCTTGGAAGTTGGCGATGAAGTGGTCGTGTAGCTCTGCCCATGATCCGATCGTGCCGCGGGGTAGCCCGTGGAGCCATGACCGGGCAGAATCCGCTAGGGCCACAGGTAGATAATTCGCCATGGCTTTGCTGTCTCCTCCTGCTGCGTGGATTGCGAGACTATAGACGGTGAGCCAAGACTCAGGGTTGGTGGTGCCGTCATATTTCTCGATTCTAGTCGGCTTAAAGCCGGTTGGCCAATCCACTCGACGCAGATCGCTTGTGAAGGCAGCAACTCCGTCCACATCGTCGTCGTAGCGATCTGGTGAATGATGGCCTCTTGCTGCGCGGCGCTGGTTGATGGTGTCGCGAAGATCGATGGGGCGCCTTCGATGTGGGGAGTGTGGTCGTTCAACTCGACGCTTCCTATATCGTTCGGGAGGCGAACGAACAGACCGTTCATCATGTCCCCTGCTCCTGCGACTAGATCCGACGCCGGCAATGCTGAGGCTTGGCTGGTGATAGTCTTGAGATCGAAGATGAGGGACTCGGCTACCAGTCGGGGTGCGGGTGCTTGCGGAGTTGGCTGGAACCGAGGCAGCGATCATGGTCTTCGTCTGGTTCAAGATGTTGACAACATGATCAGTTTGGTTGAGTGCGTCTTCCTTGAGGAGGGTGTCGAGGAGAGTGATTGCTGCAATCGCGTTCTGCTGGGGGGTGCGAAAGACCGTTGTTCCATCGACGTCTTGTTGCCCAATGAGCTCTCTCGGTCGCCGCCCAGATTCCAAGGCACGTTGCCGTCGATCTTCAGCCTCCTTTGCAATCCGTTCGCGATCTTGTTGCTCACGCTGTAGTCGTTCTCGTTCCTGTCGCTGTCACTCTTCCTCCAGTCTGCGACATTCAGCTTCTTGCCGTGCGCGATCTTGGTCCGCTTCTCGGGCTCGGCGCTGTTCCTCCGTTTCGTTGTCATCCATGAATACGCCGAAGAAGAGGGGCGTGTAGTTATCCTCATAGCTGTCGTCGAAGTTGTCGAGGTCGCCTTGGTCGTAGTGGTAGCCGAAGTCGTCGTAGTCGAGGATCTCGGTTGGTCGAGAACTGACGCCGGGGGAGTTGAGGTAGCCATCCAACTCTTCCGTCGAGACTGTCCCAAGAGGTTGGAGTATAACACCAACCTCCCTGGATCTAGATTGGATCGGGGCCGAAGCCGGAGCTTGCCTAGATCTTCGAGTGGGAGATGTCTTGGTTGTGAAGACAGTGGCCAAATCATCAGGAAGTTTCATCAGGATTGAGGGATAGGACCCGCCGTCTTCATCTGGTCGTGGAGGAGTAGATTGGATCTCGTCCGAGTGGTTTGAAGCCGACTCGGGAGAGATGATCTTAGAATAGGCCTCGGCCGAGTTCGGAATACCGAACGGCGCGGGGACCTGGTCTCTCCCCGACTGGTTCGAATCCGAGTCAAGGAGAGAGATCTTGCCGAAGTCGTTGGTGATGAAGTTGAGGCTGCCGAACCGGAACGCCTGCCCGGGAGGGAAGGTGACGTCGTCGATGCCGGAGACGGAACCCATCGCACTTAGTCGGCATAAACTTGACGCTACCCCTACCTGGCGCGCCAACTGTCGAAACAAGATTTCGGCAATAATAAAAGGGGGTGGCTATTCAAGCTCTGGAAAGTGGATGGGTTTGGAGACAAGGAATTTTATACAGGTTCAGGCCTTCTTATTCAAGAAGTAATACCCTACTCCTGTCCGGGGATGATTCCGCCGAGTGTGTTATTGATTGTATAAACTGGAAAAAAAGTACCGTGCCCCGAGAGGCACACGGACCCTCCTTATATAGGGGAAGGAGTCCGCTTTACAAAGTACAGTAGTCCATATCTTAACAGAATACTGGAATCACAGATGAAATACATCGTAACCGACTAAGATCTCGGGTATTTCCTTCACATACAAGTTAGAAACTAACCCGAGTCCTCATAAAGATATTCTATCTATATTTGGTACCGTATATCCGACTAAATATAACTGTCATGTAGATATGGGGTATCTATAATCTCCACATTGCTGGAGATCGGTGGCACGAACGTCCGCATGATGGCGAGCGGTCCGCCGGAGCTGCTCGAGGACGTCGCGACAATCTGCTCGTCTGGGTCGGCGAGCAATCTCCATTTCGCGTCCATAAGCTTCACTCGGTGAAAAAACCAACAGCCAACAAGGCATTTCAAAGCAGCTTGGCACTCCAGAAAATGGACATTGTTCTTTCAGAAAAGACAAATTGGAGCCTCATTTCTGCTGGTGTGCTGCCAATAGTGTTTTCCCCGTTTTGGGTTGATGTTTGAATTATTTCTTTTTAGAATTAAGTTGTAATTTTATAAGTCGCAGTTTTCGACTAGCAATCTTCGTAATTAATTTGCTTCGACAAGAAACCTTTGTAATTAATTGGCCGTCGCTTGCACAGGCCGGAATAAATTCCATTATAAGAAAAAAAAAATTGCCTAACACTTGTCACCCAGCGCTCTATTCTGTTGTTGTTTCTGCTTTTCCGACCTCTTTCTAGATCTTCAATTCTTGTGGGCTATTATATAGCTTGGGTGGCCCACGTAATTGCATGGCTAGCACCCAGATAAAATCATATATATTTAGTATGATTTTACTTAAAATTTATTAAGTAGCAATCTTGTTGTCTTAAAACTTTAAAAGACCAAACCTTCTGTCATCTAATTATATAGCTATCTCCGTGCTTCTAATTATATAGCTTTTAAAAGTCAAATACCATTTATTTCTGTCATCTCCTTTATTTTCTTGCTCGATTTACCACTATTTCTATTCATTCTCCTTTAAATCTTTAAAAATTGGATCTTATAGTTTGTAGAGTTTATTATCTCGCTGGGTTTCATTTTTATAATTTCTAGAAGTCCCATTAAACGCTGCCATTATACTCCTCTACGGCCCCTCCACTATCTCTTCTCTTTATTGTCATTGGGATTTTAAAAATCGAACATAATTATTGTTCGGATTCATTTTTTACTTTTTATAAATCCCGCCAAACCGTCAGCGGCGTTGCCATTGTACTCTTCTATGGCTCACCCGTTGCCTCTCTTCTTTATTGTCGGTGAGATTTTAAAATCAAACATGATTATCATTGGGTTTTTTATTTGTACTTTTTAGAAGTTCCAAACCTTTTAAAAATTAGACCTTGTAGTTTTCAGAGTTTATTGTCTTATTGGGTTTTATTTTTTATAATTTTTAGAAGTCCCATCAAATGATGCCATTATGCTCCTCTACAGCCCGTTCGCCGTCTACTCTTTATTGTCATTGGGATTCTAAAAATCGAACATAACGATCGTTAGAATTTATTTTTTTTATTTTATAGAAGTCCCGCCAACCGGCGGCGGCTCTGCAACTATACTCCTATACACCCCCATCCCATGTTTCTTCTTTTTATTGTTATTGAGATTTTAAAAATCAAATATGATTTATCAATGGGATTTGTTTTTTTTACTTTCTAGAAGTCCCGGCAACCGTCTTGCCCGTTTGCTTCACAGCCTGCTTGTTGTCCCTCCTTTTAATCATTATTAGGATCCCATTTGGTGTTTTATTAACAATTTTTATATGTCATATCAACCGCCACCACTCTACTCCTTTATAGGCCCGTTACTTAATTTATCTCATCATGTGTTCTAGATGGTCTTTTCTTTCAATATTCTTTATTTTTTATCATCATTTTTAGTTATTTATAAATTGTATTCCTAATTAAAATCTTTTTTCCTTTTTCTAATTTATGAATTTATTTTTTTTCAAATTTTAATTAGTATCGTATTGTGTTGTTTTAATATTTTTATTTTTATTTTCAATTTCAATAGTTTCAAAATTGTATTCCTACTTGAAATCGTTTTTATTTTTATAATTTTGGATATTATTTTATTTTTTATTTTAAATTTTAATTAATCTCGTATTGGGTTCTTATATGGATTTTTCTTTCAATATTACTTATTTTTTATTCCAAATTTCAGTTAATTTTAAACTGTATTCCTAATTGAACTATTCTTTTATTTTTCTATTTTTGCTAATTTCGGATTTTATTTTTATTTTTATTCCAAATATTAATTAATCTCGTATTGTATTCTTATATGGATTTTTCTTTCAATATTCCTTATTTTTAATTACGAATTTTAGCTATTTTTTAAATTTTATTCCTACTTAACTCTCCTTTTCTTTTTTAATTCCGTATTTTATTTTATTTTTATTCTAAATTTAAATTAATCTCGTATGTAAGAACTTTTTTAATTCCGTATTTTATTTTATTTTTATTCTAAATTTTAATTAATCTCGTATTTAGTTCTTACATGAACTCTTCTTTCAATATTGTTTATTTTTAATTCCGAATTTCAGCTATTTTTAAATTGCATTTCTAGTTAGACTCTTCTTTTCCTTTTCTCCAATTAATGTAAGAATTTCTAGCCCCCACAGCGAACGTGATGTCTTCTTTCAAGGCTGTTTTAATAATATAAAAGATAGATTATTTGGCTCAATTGAAAAGTTTTGAAGAAGGGCTCGAATCATAAAGTGAACAGCTAACACAGAAAATAAAGCAATTGAAACATCAGCACAACTGAACAAATTTCAGCAGCCTGGAAAGTTGTCAATTCGCTACTGAAACATTAGCAACAGAGTTTTGACAGCAGCTTACTTGGTCCATACAAGTCTACAGCAGTAAACAGTGCATAGCTTATGCTACATCATGTTTTTCTAGTAGTTGATTGCTACAACTTAGTATGTACAACACCTCTGGAGACGGTATGCGGTCGGAGATAAACCACATATTTCATTCAGATTCCTGAAAAAAAACACTGAATATTATGAGCATGGCATCGTGACACAAAGTAAAGAGCAAAACATATGCAATGCATATGGGTGGCATACCGGCTTAATTTTTGTTTTCATCCCCGCCGCTTGACATATTGAAAAGTGAGAGCATGATCAAGGGGCCAAGAACTGGTGGCAAAGGAGGTGGCCTGCTAAAAGCAACAAGTGGCTCGATGTTTTCATCCTCTGTGAGCACTGAATCATTGGAATTATTTTCCTTGCCATGCTTCTGAGGAGTAGTAATTGTCATCAACCCTGCTCGACAGTATTACATAGCAGAAAAAGGACAAAAGACACTGAACTTCGGTACTGAATCTCAAAGCAAACTGGAGGGATATGTTGACATACTCGGAAGTCCATTGACAGGTTTGATTTGCCTGGTTGCATTTTCCACCACAAACCTTGCGGCTCCTTTCATTGGTAATGGTAATTCGATGCCTGTATCTGTGAATAGAAGAAACGGTGTTTCACAAGATAGACAAGGTTGCTGAAAGTTTGATGAGAATGCGTTCAGATTTCCCTTTGAACCTTGATGGCTTGCTGCACATTGAGGGGTTGTTCACTTTGTTTCTAAAATGAACCCAATACCAAAAATTGGTAGGGTTGATTTAGGCATCAAAGAGAACAACCCCTAATTTTGCAACTTATTTCGTTCCACTCAAATTATTCCAATCTTTGATGAGTCTATGATCCATGTTCAACTATAATAAACTAATACTACCTCTGTCCAAAATATAGCATTCAAAATTTATTCAAAAATAGGAGCATCTCCACTCCACCTACTCCATCATTTCTACCAATCACAATCATCCATCATTAATTCTATCAACTTTCTTAATCTCTCTGAAAACCTCTAAAAATCCTTATAGCTTGTGACGAAGGGAGTAGTAACTTGTTTTGCAGAACGTACTAAAAGTGTTTTCAGAGCCTCCTTTTTTTTGTGAAAGCAAACTACAATTTCTTTTCTGGGTGCTTGCACAGAAATCTTGGAAGGATGTTTGGGTCAGTGTACCTCAAGTATATAAAACACTACAATATCTGAGAACAAAAATGGGTAATCGATTTTGATTAATCTGGAACTACAAACCAGATTATTGGTTCATGTTTCCTACGCGTTCAGATTCCTGATCTCTAAGGTGTACCCACACTCAAAGTCATATTCCACCTTGTTGCCTCAAAACGAGGCGCCCAGAAACAAGCGATCAAAGAATAGCGGAGACTGGAGGTAACGAGTTCCGGTAGGAAAACACACATCTGCTACGATCGATGTGAGAAATTCTGTACCTTTGACACAAGGAAAGCAGGATTGCAGGGCAAATCGCGGGAGAGAAACAGAAACGAAACCGTACCTTGAATCTCTTGATTGAAACTTGTATCAAGTTGCGCAGGATGCCTCAATTCCGAGTTCCGTAGTCCCAGAAGCGAGGAACGAACGAGCAGATTGCGTTCGGCTTGTGGGAGATGGTCGAGATCTCCAGAAATTTCCGGAAGAATATGCTAGAAGCGTCATGGCCTTACCTGAGCACATGGGCTCCAGTATAGCCGTGGTCGGCCCAGGACAATTACCACAGCGATTGGTATTGGGCTATATTTGTATGGGCCTCCAGCCTACTGATCTCGGATTGGCATTGGGCTGTTCCTCTATCACCACCGCGATTTTGCCACTATCACACTGCGTTTTTCTTTGATCCGCGCTACGATTTTGATGGGAGTTTCAGAAAATTAAAATTCCACTGTACGTGAGAAGGCTTGATTCCCCGGAGCAATCGTGGAAGAAAGTGACGTGGCCATTTGAAAGCTGTAGCCTAGAAGATTAAGCCTCTATCATTTGGTTCGCTGATGAACGCCGCACAGCATCCGGGTTTTCCCAAATCTAAGAGGAACTAACTTTCGTTTAATATACAAGTAATAATGCAGCGCGTGCTGCTGCTGCTTTGTTAGTATAAGTTTTTTGCTTGCAGCGAGGTGTCATCGTGCTGGGTTTGTGCATCAGCGCACGCGATTCATCAGCTGGTGCATTTGACGTAGGCAGTGGCGCAAGCACATGAGCCAGAGGATAAAATACTGTGCGCGCGAGAAGAGCGTTCGACCGACTTATCAGTGCTCTTATGCGTGCGTGTCGCCCGCTAAGTCTGCAGAGGCTTTGTCAAAGGCAGGTAAAGGATGAAAGCTAAATGAAACACTCAACAAATCTTTGGTTGGATTGCTTTAAGAATTTGAGGTCGATCGGAGTGTCGGACTTCATTAAAGAAAAGAATTTTGAGGTCGGGATGAGCAATAATTTAAAACTGTCTTAGTAGAATAACAAGAGCATGAGAGTCGTTAGTGTCGAGCAATTTTTTCGATGGATGACAGGTTGAGCTATCTGTACGAAGGGCCAATTTGGTTTGCTTCCATACCAAAATCTTGGTAGTGCCAAAGTTTGGGCAACTTTTGACACTACCAAATTTAGATGGGTAAAATTTTTACTATCTAAAAGATGTGTTGTTAAAATTTGGCACCAACCTAAACGACAAGAAATACTATTGAAAATTGACAGTGAATTGGTAGGGCACATTTTAGAACCAAACCAAACTAGCCCGAAAATTACCTCTACTCCCAAATAGATGTCGTTTTAGCATTTTGTTTTTCTCAAATAGATGTCATTTTATGTTTTGTAGGCAAAATTTTCTCATGTTGCCCCTAAACAAATCCAGTTGGCGCTTAATTAAGCTCATGGCTCTGCGTAGCAACCCGCGAAAATATATTTTGCATGCAGTGCCGAACAGGGTGATTGGAGCTAGAATTAATGATGCCTAAAGGCGCAAAGAGGCCATTTTGCTGCATTTAACACTTGCATTGGTATGTGCAATACGGGCTAAAACGACATCCTTTAATTTGCTGAATGGGGGATTGGAGGTAATAGAAGATTTACCCGTGTAATTTAGTATATATAGTGCTAGACTTTTTCAAAGTCGAGTTAGGTCTAATATATAACATATGTTTCTAAAAATAAAATTATGTTTTTATACAAATTATTTTAAAATAAGTATTTCCTATACGGATTTGCTAAACTACTGTCGCCACATTTTTTGCTTCATTACAGGCGATTTCTGGATCACTCGATCCCCACAAAGATTCGTGCCGTGATAGTTTACATGATATGAATCAAGCACGACCCCGGATCAGGTTAGCTAAAATTATGTAGACACATGCTATAATCGATTTTTTTAAGCCACTTACACAGAAATTACACCTCACTTATACCACACTTACACCCTACCTACATATTAATTAATATGTAATTTTTGAATTTACATATGTAATTTTAGGACGTACATATGTAATTTTGAGACTTATATTATAAATATACTAAAATTACATATGTAATTTAAGGATTTACAATGTAAATACATACCGACTATTTTTTGGTGAAAAATATGGTGCCATAAATATAGCTACACCCTTCCTATATTAATATATTGATCAATTTATTTTCTCCCGGCCATCTCTTCCCTCCACCCCGTCTCCTCCCCTACATCCTGTTCTAGCCGGGGTCGCCCGCTGGTTGCCACCACCCCCTTGCCGCTGCTACTGAGTGTCGTCATGCTCCCTCAACCAGATGCCATCACATCTATTAGCGAGAAAGACAGGATCGTCGGATCCAGTGGCCCTAACTTCTTTGCTGGTGGATCCGACTGGCTGGAGACAAGAAGCACGAGCCATCGCGGGATTGGCCAAGGAAGATGGGAAGATGGGAAGTGTGGTGTGAGCAACACCGGATACGAGCGGGATCCAAACGACAATGGCAACAGTGAGCAAATCCCGACGATGATGACTATGACGAGCAGGATCCAAATGGCAATGGTGGTAATAAGCGGAGCGGCTACGGTTGGATCAGGCGATCATGGCATTAAGCTCTCCCACAGCGGCCAGATCCAGCGAGAAACGGAGGTAGTATAGTATTCGTCAAAGGCATATACCCCCTCGCAATACAGTAGGATCAAAAAAACATAAGAACTAGGCCAACCAGAGAGGGGGTGAATGGTTCGTATACCCCAAAACCTAAACTTTTTGCGGAATTAAAAGTTACCCTCAAATTCGACGGATCGCGGTCTGACCAAAATTGATCTGCCGGTCTGACCGAGCTAATACCATCGGTCTAACTGGAGTTGATCGCCCAGTCCAACCGCCTGAAGATCGCCTATGCCTCCTGTCGTCGTCACCGGTCTGACCGCAGGTATGCCGCCAGTCTGACCGCCGGTGTCTTGCCGGTTAGACCGCCGAATCCGAGCAAACATAAATCGAAGAACTCTCAAAGTAGATGATAACTTTATTACTTCTCTCTGTGTTTATAAAGTGCAACAACAGCACTCCTCACGAAAATCTCGACTAAACTCGAAACCCTAATTAAACTTACAACTCAATTGCTCTCAAAAATGATACCGATAAGCCTCACGCTTCCTCTTTATTTATACATGAAGTCCTAATCCACCTAGGAAACCTTCCCGTACAAGAAACAAACTTTACAAACTCCAATCATATCAAATTTGGACTCCTTCCAAATTCGACTCCGCATCCCATACGCACACAATACCTCCATCGTATGCCATATGGAATATTCACCAACCACGTGCATTGAACTCTAGCCTAAGTATCCTGCATGATATCTGACCGTCACGGACATCGCCTTTTCCCCAAGTTGACTCCCAATCCATCACCGGCAATACTTTCCCGAGACATCAAGTCACCTACACATGAATCAAACAAAGAAACCATATTCCGAGGCCAAGCTATCTCCAACTTAACTCATTGGTAGCAAACAACAATATTACATACGCATAGTATCCATCTAGAAGCCATAAACATGAAACAATAACGGATATCCAAACAAACAACCCGAAACCGAAACCGACACAGAATCCGGTCCTGACAAAACAGTAACCCTGTTCATCACCTGAAAACTCAATCATCTCCAAAACCACTTCACCAATAATCTCCAAATATCAAAATCAATAATCATAGATGTCAATCGTTCGTCACAGAATAATAATCAAAACGCATTTTGATTTCACAAATACAAGATACATGTAACTCTCTTTTCAAGAACAAGGAATATTTTGATATTGTTGACCATATATACTTCTGTTGTGATCAATTTAGTTTGTTTATATTTTTTTTACCTCCCAGTCTCCATGGCTGTCTAATCAATGACCAGATTTTGTGATTTCCTTATCTGACCCCGAGATCATGCTGCTAGTAGCACACACGAAAAACGAGCTCACATGGTGAGTTTTTCTTTTTTACCTCAATCCGTTTTAAAAAAAAATGTTCAATCCTAACTATAAATCTTAGATACATGCGTATCTAGATTAGTAACTAGAGTTTATCTTTTATGAAAGAGTAGTAGACAATAAGAAAATTGTGAATTGTCACGTAATACCAGTATGGGCCGTATGGCATGCACTACATACCCTCTACGAATAAAGATGGAGTCGCGTAGAATGACCGGGAGCAATGTGGACAATCATTCGCATATGCGGCGCACCACTGAACAAGACAGATGTGAAAGTCCTGAAATTTCAGCATTGTTGCCAACCACCTATTTTAGTTTCATTGAAGTGGTTAACAATCTCTAACATGTGTTATACACAGTAATGTGGTGCTTCTTACAAGACAGGGGACTGGACGCACAACGTCTCCACCAAAAACGTTGGCGCAGTGAAATTCAAAGAATAACCATCCCACAGAACATCCTCCTTACAATGTTCAGCCGCAGAGACGCATGCATGCCACAGGCCACAATCAAACAAATATACTGTGCTCTTCACCGCTGCCACATCGTCGTATACTCGAAGCGCTTCCGCTTCTGGAGTCCCCTTCTCTCCGGTACCGACAATTAATGGAGTCGACGAAGCGGCCAGAAATACAAAAAATCTTGCAAGGCAAAGGCAATTCTGCTAGCTCGACAGGCGCAGTCTTGCTAGCTGCAATTGCCGCCGTCAAAATCACAAGCTCCGGTTGATTCTCGCAAGCTCCTTCTCCAGCTCTTCCAGACCACCAACCTCCTCCAGCTCCTGCACGCACGACCACACACACGTTGAGATCGAGAAGACGGTACAAGGAAACCAGGATTGCTTTGTCATGTACTGGTCACAAGCACATATAGACGACAAATGCATAGGCACCAGTCACGCACCTTGGGTCCAAGAAACAGCCCATACGGTACGCCCTCGAACTTGTCCGTGTGGTGTATCTGCTCGTGGCCACACAAAGAAAATCAGCAAAAGTACACTCTCTAGCCAGTAGTAGTAGTAGCAGCGTGGACTAGTAGTAGTGGTGCAGTAAACGTCAGTGAGCAGCTGGTGGTCTCGTACCTTGTGGGCCGCGGCCACTCGCCGGAAGTAGGGCACATTCGCGATGGGGCCGACGGGGAAGCGGCGGTGGACCAGGCCGTCGTGGACGAACATGTAGGCCATGCCGAACAGCGTAATCCCGAGGCCCTGTAAGAAACGGACACGTGGCAGGTCAGATCCCAATTGGATGGCTCTGACAGGTGGGCCCGGCCGACCAGAGAGAGCGTTACGTGCTCCCTGCAGGGCGCTGGGCTTACCGCGCCGAAGCAGAGGCCGGGGACGATGCCCCGGTGGAAGAAGCCGTAGGCGAGGAGGGAGATGGCCGGCACGGCGTTGGTGATGGCGAACACGTCGTTGAGCTCGAACGGGCCCTCGCGCGCACGGTGGTGCGACTCGTGCATGTGCCACAGGGAGGCGTGCCACAGCGAGCGGTGCGCCCACTGCGCCCAGAACTCCATCCCAACCTGCAACCCCCCAGCGAGCGTCAAAATTAAGCAAAATTTTGACATCCCAAGGACGTTATCAGCGAGCAAACAGGGATTTTGCGGTGTCACGGCCGCTTACCGCTGCGCCGACGGAGAGCGCAAACGTGCCAAACATCTCGGTCATCGGCACATCCCCGCCCTGCACGGCCGCACAGATATCAACCACGGTCAACAACCATTTGCACACTTAAATTACTGGGACATCTTGTCCGGCAAAAATTACGGCGATGACTTCTCCGCATACTATAATGGAAGTAGAAGCGAAGAGGAGATGTACCTCCAGTTGCCAATGGAAGCGGTAGTACACGGCGGCGACGGCCATGGACGTGAAGCCGAGGCTGGACATGACGGCCGCAACCAGGTACGTCCGCCTCTCCGACAGCTTCCGCGCCTTCCTCTCCGCGATGCGCCGCGCCGCCGCGGCAGCCGCCTCTTCCTCCAGCGAGGGCACGGGCACGGGCACCGTCGGCGGCGGGGACGGAGCCGGGGCCTGCTGGCTCTCCGTGCCCTGCGGCACGAAGCACGTGACGGTCCCGAGCCCGCGGCTGCGCGGGGTCCGCGTGAGCGGCGAGAACGGCAGCGCGCGGCCCGACGGCGGGGGCCACGACCGGCGGCGCACGGCGGCCGCGAGGAGCGGCTTCTTGACGGCGAAGCTGGTCATAGCGCCGCCGGAGAGACCGGTGGCCATGCCGTGGTCGTTCTTCCCTCCCGGCCTCGTATCTTACCCGCGCGCGCTTTCGTGGACAGGGATGGAGCGGGAGAGTGTGACGGGGGAGTGTAATCGAGAGACCCCGCGGCTCGGTCGTAGTACTACTACTTAAAGAGACGTCGAGTCGTCGAGTCGCCCGGTGGCTTACCGTGGAACGCGTGTGCATCTGGGGACGACGAAGCGGGGAAATTCGACTGTGATTTCTCGTTGGCTCACAGACGTTCATGTCAGCGAGAAGGCGATGGGGCCCTGGTTGCCGGTCGATTTGGATCCAACGGCTGCAAGGGCAAATATTTCTTAGGGCAATAGCAATGTGCCACCAATTTTTACCGAACCTCACAAGTCACGTGGATTAAGAACTATATATGTCACATGCTCCACAATGCAGATTATTTTCGGTGGGTCCCGTCTCTATCTCTCCTTCATTTTTCCTCTCCATCTCTCTCCTCTCTCAGCAATTTTGCCTAGCGGAGAGAAAGCGAGTGGCGGCACCAAGTGTCTCCTGCCGACGGAGCCGAGCAGAGCGGCGGAGGCACGGCCCAAGCGGTGGCGGCGTGGCCCAAGAGCGGCGCCACCTCTCCTCCTTCTTCAATCGGCGGCCTGAGTGGCACCGGCACAATCCAAGCGGCAACAGCGCCGGCAGGGCTCCACCTCTCCTCCTGCTTTGACTGGTGGATGGCGCGGGGGGAGCTCCGTGGCACGCCCGCGACGAACGGCGCAACGGAGCTCGGCGGCGGCGCGGCCCAAGCGCGGCGCCGCCTCTCCTTCTCCTCCTCTGATTGGCGGCCCGAGCGGCAGAGGTGCAGTCCAAGCGGCGACGGCGGCGGCGGGGCTCCACCTCTCCTCCTCCTTCGATTGGCGGATGGCGCGGGGGGAGCTCGGCGGTGCGCTTGCAGGGTTCGGGGCGGCCCTCTCCGTCGATCTGTCACTATTGCGTTCAGAGGCGGGGCGGAACGGTGACGACGATGAGGTTAGGTGCTAGATCCGCCGCCTTCTCTTCCTCCGCCGCCGGCATCTTCCCTTCTCCGCCCTAGGCCACCGCAGTTGCCATCTTTCCTTCTTCTCCCTGTGCTGCCGCCGTGACCGTTGCACGAGTATGGTGGCGTTGCACAGGGCCATGCCCCCTCTCAATGCGCCCCGCGTCTTGCCCCACGCTTGCCAGTTCTGACGAAGAACGGGTTGCTTCGTTTAGGCTCCGTGATCTTCAGTTGGGAATGGCAGATATGTACATGGCGCCGAATTTTCGACGTAGATGGTTGAGGCTGAACGTCACCTATGAGCATTGTAAATAGCCTTATGAAACGGTACAAATACTACGAGTGGGGAGTAGGTCCTCTCAAAGTTGGGCGGTCGGGCCTGACACCTGACAGCGAGAACAGTCCAACGCCACACGGTAGTAGAGTACAAATTACAAGGATCGAGCGTGCCATGTCCATACCGTGTACAGTTACGGCGCCTGTGGGCGTTGTGCGGCGAAGGGCAGGAACACGCTGTCGCCTCCCCCGCCTGCCCTCCCTCCTGTCTACCGATCGAGCATCTCATCGCGTTCGTGAGGCCTCGCCGCCACGGAAAAGAAAATAAGTCAGAAAAGTGCGCACGAAAAGACGAAGAAAAAGCGTGAGAAAAAACGCTGAACAGAGGCAATCTTGATGGTGCAGATTGCAGGAGGAAGAGTCGCTCGTTGATGGTGATCCTTTCATTCCCTCTGGCCTCTGCAAGTCTGCGTCTTGGCTTCGGACGGCATAGGCGCTTATGTTGTACTCCTACGCAACGATCGTTAATTGGGGGGCTCACCTGAGTTTGGGAAATTGACCACTGGTAGGCAACAACAACAGGTGTCCACGTCGGCGGGATACGGTCGTCGATGAAACGAGTGGATGGGCGCTGCTGCAGCAGCGAGCGGCCATGGCGCCATGAAAGTTGGGTTGATGGGCCGTGCGTTCTTGGTTGTGGAGTGTTTGGGCGGCCCATTTTAATATAGCATTTGAACAAGACCATTGACATTGTTGACAACCATGTTTAGCATGAATTTGAATTTTAAACAAATTTAGATCAAATCTGGAAGAGATAAGGGCTTTTCCTCGGAGGTCGGTCTAAACGATGGGAGAACTTCGTTCGAGTCCAATTAAAACAGTTATCATGTTTTCTTGTTTAGGCCCAAAGCTTATAGGAAATGAAGAACGAGCTGCTTATATAAAAATCCCCCCGCCCCCTAAAATGGTTGTGGTCGATTCAATTGAATAACCACCCTAACCCTCGACAATAAACCGATCTTCTACTTTTTAGCCATATTTTTTTCTCAACCTTTTGCCTAGTTTGTCCATCCAACCATGATGAGCGCGTGCAATCTCCTTGATCATATAGCCCCCTCACCCCCGCCTTAGAAATTTGGGGGGACCCAGTGGAGATGAGCTCACTAGCTCAACTATCATAGTGTTGTGTCGGTTGGTCGTTTGCATGCGCCTATTCTACTGTCCAATCGCTCCACCTATGGACTGTGCCTGCCACGAGAGCAAGCGAGACACCAACATTGGCACCTCCTGTTTGCCTCGCCAAGGCATCTCGCGCCACCCCCCAAGTCCAAGACTCCCGAGTTCCTCATGATGTTGCCTACTCGTCTGGTCATCTTGCCAACGCCAAGACATCGTTGGTTGCCCAAGTCCTAGACTCCCCATGTTTAGGTCTCAATTTTCGTAAGTTTTCCTCGATATGGCCATGCGCCCATAATTTTTTATAGTTTTTGTTGTAAATTGTTTGTATTTGTTACGAAAGTCGATATCCTCTGTAGATTTGTCCCGTAAACCTTCCGATTTACCCATATGAAATACGTGCTTACCCCAAAATCAATCTAAATTGTTATAGAGGAGGCTAGTTTTGATATATAAATCGGTTCCGCTAGTCGGTTATGATATTCTTATCATCTTGATCGATAATTCTCAAGATTAAGGCGATTGGTTACTTTATACATGAACACCATAAATCTTTGAGCGATTGGCTACTACAGTGATTAGGGTCATTTTGTTATTTATGTTTTTTCCTGGCTAGATTGATAGGTGGTTATCCATTTCACTGACATAGCTCTGTTCCATCCAAAAAGCCAAAAAAAGAAGAAAAAAGTTCAGTTCCTACTAAATGACGATTATACCCCTCCACACATTCTAAACCATGTTCTACTCCCGCTAATTAGGGTGGTAGTATATATAGATATAAATCGTTCGATCAAATAAGATTAACGGTTTAAATTGTTTTCTACCAACAGTGGAGAGCACCATAATCTTTAGGCGAATCCATATTATCCGGAAAACACACCAACACATGTGGTCCATAATTTCACCATACAGAAGATCATCCAAACATAAATTACTAGTCACATATATAAATACAACTTATGCCCTCGATGGCAACAATTTACAACAATAATGTCAAATAGCCATGCAACAAATAACAGGCCGAAACAAAGATACAGAAACATGCACACACACGATAAAGCAATTAGCACGCATCCTCACACCATACGGCGGAGACCTTTGCCACACACGTACGTACATAAATTAAACTAGATCCCTAAAACCAGGACATGGAGCACAAGTATTGTTGGGAATAAACGTAAATATCTGAAGATACAGAGGCACAACCCAAGACATACCCCGGTCCAAGTCTCCAAGACTTGGGCCAAATCTTGCTCCACCCCATGGATGCAAAGGATAGGTGTACAGTCATAACAACACTGCTATGGTCTTGTAGAGTTGCACTTGCACGTTAGGCATCCTCATCACCAAACAGAAATCCAAGCGACGATGGCCCTCCAGGCGCACAACGGACTCTCGTGGACGGCCGGTCCTTCAAAAAAAAAGTGGGGCAAACTCAATACAAATAGCTCAGGTTATGCTTATGCATACCATAATCCATTTCTAGAGTCTACAAGCAAGAGGTATATATACTCTCTGATATATACTCACCGTGATAAGAAGGCCAGAGTTATTGCCTACTTGGTTAGTATGGTAGATGTTTGAAGCAGATCGGCTAGATACTATTGGGTTGGAGTCTTCTTTCTTCAGAGGAGCAGCAGCCTGGTGTTCTTGATCTGCTTCGTCGCTGGCCATCTTGTCCCCAAGAACAATATTGCCTTTTGGGGCCTTGTTGGTTCCTTGAACGGATTTAGTCGAGTGATCCGGAATGATATCCTCCGGCTCCGGCTCGAAGAGGTAGCCCAGAGAGCTCCGGCCACCGCCACTGCTCTCTCCTCTACAGGCTCTACTCATCTTCTTCCTCTCGGCGCTCTCTATCTGCGTTTGTTGATCTGAGCGAGTGTGATCTGTAGCAATGACTTGATGTACTGGTGTCAGCTATTTATATGGAGCTTGATGCGAGCGTGGTGCATCTTCGGACAGCTTATTGATAGCGCACAAATCAACTAATCACACGATATAATGATTAAGAAGCTGTGAAAAGCATGAGCTGGACGTTATCTCCTTTTGGGATGCAAGAGCACGACAGTTTGCCAACTCCCCAATCACGTCCCTCCAACGCTGATCCTACGTTCGGAAAAGCAACGCACAATCCGCTGTTAAACACTCGATACACAAGAAGAAACCCATTTGTCACAGTTCACAGACAGTTGACAGTGACATCCTGCAGTTTTTCTCAGTTGGTAAGTGGGTCATGCTGCACAGTGATATGGCGCCCCAGACGGAACTTAACTGTGCTTGAAGTCTTGAACAGTTTAATAGAGCGAATGGCTGTGATTGTTCAAGCCCAAAATTGTTTTGTTCCCTTCCTTCAAAAAAATTGTTTGCCATTTTAAGCGTGGGAATATCTCATTATTTTTCATCCTACACACGCAGAAGCGTCAACGTCCAGTACCAGTGTATCACAGTAGCATTGCACGTCTCAATCGCCGTTCTGATTAATCAGTGCTTTTGTTGCGGGATATCAGCTTGCGAGGAATCTTCTTACGATCGCCCGTTCTGATTTTTTGTTGCTCACTCCTATTACCATTACTTCATTAGGCTGGTGATGGCGATGCTGCACTTGCTCTGTCCTACTCAGCACATTACGATCCGATTACAACGGTAGAGCGACGATTACCTTACCTTTTCTTTTTCTTTCAACTTTTTTTCTGTTTGAAAAAAGTGCATATTGAAAGCTAATACTATCTCCATCCCAAAATATTACTGTCCATATTCATAGTACTGAAAAATATTTAATTTTATTCAGATTAAGGTCTAAGGACTCCGTTCTCCGGCCGCTAACAGTGAGTTGTCATAGTCTGAAAACTTATCTAGCTAGAGATTAACAGATGGTGCCAGCATTGCTCAGTCGTATGACATGTCTTCTCATGGATGCTTTGAAGCATCTCCGAAGTCTGACATGCGAAGTTTGTTCATAATTCATCCTCGCAACAACATAGGCAAAGTGCAAGAGAACAAATGCATAAGGGGATTTAAAGATTTTAAGGAATAATAACAAAAGAATGTCATTTGTCCGTAGGATCAGAAGCAAAGAGAGATGGTTATCAGTCACTGACAAATCAGAAACACGGACCAACCTTTTCTTCATCACTTCCTACAAAGGACCGGTTTAACAAAAAGTTTTTTTTGAAAAAAAAAGTAGACTAGTACAGCCATTAGAAACAGCGAAGTGGTCATCAGAGACTTAAATACTAAGAATCACATCATGGATCATATTGTTGCAGTTATATCTCTCATCATTTGACCAGCAAAACTGTTGCTTCAGAAAACACAAACAAACTAACTAACCGCGGATTCATCCGAAGAACTTCAGAAATACCACGAGAGAGAAGGCTATGCGAACAAGAACATCAAAGCAAGGGCAGCAAATCGAAAGAATTGAGAACGCAGGGAGTCAGGAGAAGCGAGAAAAAGATCACCAGAAGAGGCGGCTGCCGTGGAAGAAAGATTGCGGCCGTCCTAGCAGGCACCACACCTACTTATAAAGTCGTGCGACATAAGAAACCCTAGAAGGCCCAACTGCTTATATGGGCCGGGCCTGTTTAAGGCGCGACACAGTACGTTCCCGTCGAGGCTAGGAAGGTTCTGGAACCACACAGTCGAAGGGGGTCTATGTGTAATCCTGGCACGTTACACATTACAGTCCATTTGATTTCGAGGATTCCGATTCCTGGATTGCGGGGATCAGAGTTTTCAATTGATTTCGAGGATTCCGATTCCTGGATTGCGAGGATCAGAGTTTACATTACGTCGGTTACCAGTCTTACCACGGGGTACAGTAATAAAAAACCCACGGTAACCTCTTTAAATTCAAATAAATTTAAAGAATAATTTAAATATTTGATAAATTTTGTATGGTTTCGTACGGTTTTTCACGGTTACCACGCGGTAACCGTGCTTACCGCAGGGACGTGGTAATCCCGGCCCTGACGGTTTGGGAAACCTGGCGGGGATGCTGCAGTTGCATTGCACAAGAGAAACTACAGAGATTATTCAGAGTTCAGACTCTCATCCGAGAAACGATTCCAGATATCCCATCGCTAATTATCCTTCTGTTGGCGTTGTTTAGATTAGAACAGATAATTGAAGGATGTCCCAATACGGTTTAATCTCCCAGAACTAAAATGATTATGGTTCGATCTATTACTGCTTGTAGTCTGTAGTCTGTACAACAGGAGCGAGCAGCCTTAACCTGATAGGCTACCATGCGGTCCATGCAAGGTACTAGTACTACTAATGCCCCTAACCAGGTACCATTGAGTATAATCATGCATAATCCTAGTTCACGATGAACACCGATGCTTCATTCGTCGGTGCGTTTCTCCCATACCCATCGACTCGGCCTGAAAATCTGCCGCAGGAGTGCCATCTTGGGGACGTTCCAGTGCTCGACATGCCTGGACGACAGTAAAATCCGTCAGTTCGTCAGGCACAACGACGCAACATCTGTGTGTTCTCTCTCTCTCTCTCTCTCTCTCTCTCTCTCTCTCTCTCTCTCTCTCTCTGCTCCTAAAAATCACTGGATTTCATCGTCTCAGTACGTACGTACCTGCACACCTTTCCTGATCCAGCGTCGAAGTAATATTCAGTGTACCCGGTCGCTGAAATGAAACAGTGAAAAAAGAGAGTGAAAAACTGAAACGTATACCTACAGAGCAAGAAAGCAAGGAAGGACATGTTAAATGGCACGCACTTACCGGACAGAATAGGCCTCCAGGGGAACGACATGACGCAGCTGAAACGCCAGTGTCCAATTGATTTGTCCTGCAACCACAAGTCCAGAATCATGAATCATCTTCAGCAGCAGCCGCAGCAAGATGGGTTAGTGGATTTGCCCTAAGCATCAGCAACGAGATATATAGCATGTGTTAAATCGTGGTACCTCCAGATCCTCCCATTTGGTGAGCTTCATGTTAGATTTTTCCAAGAGAGAACCGAAGTTTGTGCAGTTTCTCTTGAAGCGCTGCAGGCCATTGAACGAACCTGCAGGGTCGGCGAACTCGCAGTCCTCTTCATAAGCCTTCAGCGTGAGATTCCCTGCAACAAGTAGGAAGCAAACACAGAAATGTGCACGGTGAAGCCTAAATGATAAACAAAACTCTGAAAATTACATAAACAATCGCGCGCTGCATCACCGATCGATTGTTCATCAGAAACGACTCGAGTTATTTAAGCATTTCACAGTCCGTCGCTGACCTGTGACGAAATATGACCGCGCGAAGTCATCCTTGACAGCCTCGGCGACCTGAGCGCGGCCCTGAGGCTCCGACGCTGCTTCTTCTACGGCTCCGGCGCTGTCCCCCTCCGTAGGCGGCTGCGACGGCCGGAAGAACGAGGCGGCGATGCCGAGGAGCTCGGAGCCGTACCAGGCGGCCCTGAGGACGGCGTTCTCCGAGCTGGAGGACGTCTCGTTGCCCGCGCCAGGGGAAGCGGGCTTCTCCGCGTGCAGTTGGAAACGGCGAGCGGAGCGGCGCGTTGGACGCCGGAGGAGCACGCCGGATTTCTGCCGGTGATTCGCTGCGGGGAGGGTAGAAGTTGGAGAGCGGACAAGCATGGCCATTCCTTTTCCTGCGGCCGCCGGAGGACCGGAGCTGATCCGGCCTCGCCAACAAAGCGACCAAGAAGAAATGGACTTTTTTCTAGTAGTTTTTATTTTTGAGGCCGAAATATGTTTGCCTTTTTCACTTTCAGAAATATATATGTGGTGACCAATGACACCATGTACTACACCACGCCTATTATTTGAGATCGAAATATGGAAATGGAAAAAAGAAAAAGAAAAGAAGAGGAGTGTGATACAACGTTACGCAAAATTAAAGTATTTATAAAACACGATTTTTCAATTTAATTATTATTTGAACGGTAGGTTTGTATTTATTTCATAAATTTTAAGATATCTATAATATTCTTTGAAGCTACTCATACGGAAAGAATATATGTGTGTATATTTATAAGGATAAGTGTGTACATGGTTATATAAGCAATTTGAGTTTGTACAGTGTTGAGAAAAAAAAAAGAATGGTTGGTTAAAGATATCAAGAATAGATAAATCAGTTCATTTTTAATGGGTACTTCAGACTAGGGTGGGCCTGTTTATAGGCTTACCGGTTACCGCTTACCAGCCTTTTGCAAAGGCTTTCTTCTCGCTAGGCCGAAACAAATGGAGCGTACTATGTTAATAACTTAGTATTGGGCCATCACAAACCTCAACACCCTTGCAGAGCCAACATTTTGGGAATGAGTCTACTTTATCACTCTTATCTCTTGCTCCTGATTGAATCGTCTCCCTCAACCGTAAAACGGGGTAGAACTGTTAGATTCTAGGTTTCCCTAAGGTGCAGATCTAGGGGTAATTTGCTCATTGGAATAATGGTGGTTGCCTTAGAGAACTGACTTGGTTGCGAACGAGAGAGCGGAACCCCTACCTTCCTTGGTCTTAGAGCTTGATGCAGCCATGGCGACGGTGTGGCAGTGTGAGGGCATCGGTGACGACGACGGTGTTGGTGTGGGCGATGGCTGTAGCGGGCTTCCCCTCACTTCAGCGCCTATCCCGGATCGGTGGGTACTAGGGTTTGTGTGGGGAGTCCAAGTACAGGGCGAACGTTGGTTCGCGTGCCCGGCAGCTCCCCCTATTTAGTATTGCGTTGCGTGAGAGGGGCCCACAGCCACGAACGGCTGGCTCCCCTGATCAGGGCGCGTAGGCGGAGTAGGGATCGGTTTCCTGATCCCCGGAGATCGCAACTAACAATAACACCTTCCTTGTCTTGAAAAATCAGTGCAAACAATAATACAATCCTCTTTTGGTGGTTTGAGAAATGGTTTTTACTAATGTGACAGGTTGATGGTCTAATGCTACCTACAAGCCCCACACAAGTTAGCACACAGTGTGGCACACATGTGAAAATAAATTCGTTTGGAGAAATAGTTGATAATCTTGTACTACTGAATACCGTACCATTTTCATATGCAGCATGACATTGCATCTGAATGTGGAAAAAAGGCACACATGATGAGAACGCTAAAACGCTAAACTGTATCTAATCCCTACTTGATCGATTCCTCTAAAAAGATCCCTACCTAGCTGATTATCTGAATTTTCATCCATTTTGGTTCGGTGTCACCGCCGGCCGATGCATCCTTATGTGCCTCGTCCCTGTATGCCGTCACCCTTGATATCGATGATGATGTCCACTTCTCACTGCAACTACAACTACCACCACAGCTTCCTCCTGTGCCAGTGACCAATGCAACCGCTTCATCCTTTGCGTCCCAACTAGCAATATACTCGGCGACTGGAAACTCCTGCTACTATACTACATATGTTGTTGTTAGAGCATCTCCAAGAGAACGGCCAAATGGCTATCCAAACTAAATTTTGGCAAATACGAAGAAAAAAAATACCCTTCAACAGCCTCTCTATCCGGTTGGCTAAGCCATATGGCTAGCTAAACCACAGCACCCACCGGCCAAACTTAGAGAGTCATTTTGGCTGGCCAACCGTGGGTCCCACCACTCCTCCCATCTCTCTTTGCCCAAATAGCAGAGGACCATGGCAGCGGTGGGGCTTCCTCGTCATTCGCCGCCGTCGGCTCCCGCCTCGCGCGCTTGCCGCTTGGGACCCGTCGCCGCCGTCGTCGCCCACTCGCGCGCGCGGGAGCCGCCGCCGCCGTCACCGCCCGCCTCGTTGCCGCTCGCGCGCGGGGGGAGCCGCCGCCGCCATCGCCGCCCGCCTCGTCGCCGCCGTCGTCGCCCGCCTCGTGCACGCGTGGAGCCGCTGCAGCCGTCACCGCCCGCCTCGTCGCCGCTCACGCGCACGGGGAGCCGCCGCCGCTTCCCGCCTCGTCACCACCGTCGTCGCCCGCCTCGCACGCGCGGGGAAAAATCAGGGAAGAGGGCGCGGCGGCAGGGCGGCATGACAGCGAGCGTCGCCGCGGTCTCCCGCTCGTTGCCACCGGCCTCCAGCGCCGATTTCCGCCGCCGCGAAGGCCTTCCGCTCGCCGCCTGTTCTCGAGAGCTGAGGAGAGAAGAATGGATGAGCGGCGACAGCATGAAGGGAGCGGCGGCGCCAGTGAGATGGGAGACGGGGTGGTAGAGGGGCCGGCGAGGGAGGGCTCCGCCGTCGCTTCGCATGCCCATCGCCATTGTTTCGCACACGCAAGAAGAGCTTCGAGCACTACCTCCGGTCGCCGCGGCCTCCCGCTCGCCGCTTGCTCTCGAGCGCGGAGCGCCGGAGAGAGAGAGAGAGAGACGAGCGGCGGCGGAGAAAGTGAGAAAAGTAGGGCTCCGTCGTCGTCTCGCTCACGCACAAATCGACTGCCGCCGTCCGCGGTAGGCGGTAGCCATTGCCTCGCATGACTCGGGGAAAAGGGAGAAAAGAGGAGGAAGAAAAGGGGATATTTAGCTGACATACAGGTCCCACTGTACTCATAATGAAGAGTATAGATGGAGAGTCTGTTAGAGTAAGAAACTAGTCTAACTAGCTAAATTAGATGGAGAGTTAGCTATATGTGTGTTTGGAGAGTCTAATTTGGAAGGCTGTTGGAGATGCTCTTACTCGCTGCTAGCTAACCACTTGATCCAAATGCCCTACTGCTACCACTATTCATTGCCCTTCTTGTCTCGCCGTCCCCAGAATATCCACCATCCGTTACTGGACCGTTGTTGCGTTAGCCTCCCTCTAAATAAAGGAACTTCCCCTTTGTCAACCCTCTCCCGCCTCCACGCTAGACCTGAACAATAATCGAAAAGATCTGATGATGATCTTGCTTTGGTACATTTCGATGTTAAATTGTGTCAATGCGAGATAATGTACCAACAATCCTAATATTTGATAGTGTCAAAATATTATTGAAGCATTTGGTTTGTTATCCTACCAGTAAGGTAAATTGTGGTAGCAAACTAAAGTTGCCCGATATAAGTTGTCTATATTACACTTAATACTGTCTCGTTCCCATTGTAGCAACAGCTTGAGCCTTTGACGACATGTTGATCGATTGAAACTCATGCATGCACGTTGTTCTGCATAGAAACGTTGATCGCCATTTGCGAACAGAAGATGGCGACTGTCGTCAATCGGTCACAGTCGTTGTTCCAAACATGAAGCGACAGCTGGTCGATCGGTCACACATGCTGCCATGCATGTGCGATGACTGACCGGCCAAAAACGTTTTTTGCACACAGAAATTGGAATCGCTGACCACGTAGGTACGTAATAACGTAATGTCAGTCGTCATCGCCAGTCGATCTCTCGCTTCACCTCGATCCATCGCTTCTAGCTTTACCAGAAGAACATGCAATGTCGAGCTATAGTGAGACACACGCAACAGCCGAACACTTTTTTTAGACAAGGGACGTCATGGTAATAAGCTAGATTATTGAACTTGGACTGATTCTGTGCACGAGAGCATGCAATGTTCTTTCCTTGAACATGAAAAAGACGCGGAAAGACAATGTGTCAATGTACATATATGCACGGCGGCACGTTTCCGCATCCGTAGTTAAACTATACAGTAGTGCTCTAATTAATAATGGGAGAAATTCTGTGTTTAACCGTAAATTGTCAATGAGTACGTGGCAGAAACGCCGTGATGTACATCTGCAGGGTTTGCCCGGACAGGTCCGATCCGTGAACGGCAGTGCCTTGTCTTATTTTCTTTTAAGAACTATAGGCAGTGCCTTACTGCCTTTTCAAACTAATATTCCATCTAGCCCTTCCCTTTGACACATTTTTTTTTTCACCTTTTCGCGCTGTCGCACGTCCTCGAAAACAATTGCGCCACGGTGAATGTAGAGCCACACGTACACGGTTTCCTTGCAAGTACAGTGAGCCACTAACGCACGGCCGCACGGGACACTAGCTCAGTGCGAAAAGTGTCAAACTTGATGATCAAGGCACGATTGACTATTTAACTTGTCAAATCAAAACAGTGTACGTACTACTAAAACTTCAACAAATATGTGGCCGGTGGATTTTCTTCCGGTTGATAATATTGTAGTTTTGAAGAATGGTGAGATCAAACTTTAAAATCTTTTATACTATAAATAATTTTTAAAATATTTATCAAGGATATGAAGACTATATGTATAAATCAGTTTTAAAAGGTACTTCAATAAAATTATATATTTGCTAATATTTTTATATATATTGTAATAGAAAATAGTAGTCCAAGTTATTTTTTAAGATCATTTGTTTATCTACAATAATAATTATTATTAAACCGGAGTGTATTACTCGTCTCTCGAGCCTCAAAAGATATCGCGCCTGCATTATGTATACGGTACAACCGTATAACTTGCTATGTCTCTCCCACTCTCTGCCTTTCAGCTTAGCCTTTCAGAGTTTTTTGTTTCAACGTTAACTTGTTTAAGTGCGAATTCGGACGCCACGTTTGCACACCACCCGTGCTACCGCCTACCGTGCACCGAGGCAGCCACCGTCCCACCGACCAATCCAAAACATCGACCAGACAACCGTACGCATGCGTACAATAATGCCAATTAGCGCGAACTTCTTTGGAGTCTAATGTCTACTTGCCATTGCGCAAATTTGCATGTGCCACGCGAGCTACCCGTGCTTTGTATCAGTCCATCGACTACGTACCGCACAACCATTTTCACCTATGCGCGACGGGTCAGCAAAATACTTTTAATTATACACATTCACCTGTTTATTGCATGTCAATTAAATGATCATTTTTTTTTAAAAAAAAGACAAGATAGATTACTCATTCCGTTCTAAAATAAAAGAGATTTTATCAATATGTAATTTGTTACTTTAACAAATATACACGTTCAAATTCGACTGCAACAAGTTATACCAAAATATTTATAGAGTGATATATGTTATATCAATCTTACAGACACTGGTGGAGAAATCATCTTTGATCGGTCGACCAGATTTCATAATAGTTCCGGTTGTATTAAAAACCGGGACTAAAAACATCTTTAGTCCCAGTTTAAAAGATCAAGGGTACTTTTTCATCTTTAGTACCGGTTGGTGTTACCAACCGATACTAAAGATCTATTTGTAGTACCGGTTGGTGTTACCAACCGGGAAAAAAGATCAACATAAGCTTTACTCCCGGTTGGAGTTACACCAACATAAGATGTATTTTTAGTCCCGGTTGGTAACACCAACCGGGAGTAAAGATCCCCATGCGCCACCGGCCAGCAGCACCTCGTTCCTCCCCAGACCATATCGTATATTCCTTTCTCCTTCCCACTTCTCCTCCTCCTTTCTTCACGTTCGTCCTTCTCTTCCTCCGTCTCCTTTCTACCCTCTCCCCCCCTCATTCTCTCCCCCCTCCCCTACCCTCCGGCTCCCCTCCGGCGGCGGGAGGCGGCCGGGCGTCGGCGGCGGCCTCCCCTCCGTCAGATCCGGGAGGGGAGGCGGCCAAGCGGCGGCGGCGGCCTCCCCTCCGTCGGATCCGGGAGGGGAGGCGGCTGGGCGGCGGTGGCGGAGGGCGGCGGCCGTCGCGCACGGAGGGCCGTCCCTAGTGGCGGCGGCGGAGGCCAGCACGGAGGGCTGGCCGCAAGGCGGCAGGCGGTGGTGGCCGGGCGCAAGGCGGTAGGTGGCGGCCGGGCGGCGGTGACCCGCGCGGCGGTCGGGCGCAAGGCGGCCGGCGGCCCACGGCCGGGCGGCGGCGACTGCGAATTTTTTTGAATGATTTGTATATTTTGGTGGAGCATTTTGTTGGTTGATTTAGGGATGATTTTGTGATTAATTTGTGGATTGTGGATGTGGATGTATTTTGTTGTGCTTGATGTAATTTTTTTTTTGAGATTTTGTGATGTATTTGAGTATTTGAGATGATCGATTGTGGATTTGGAGGCAATTTGAGGATGATTGATTTGGGATTTTGGGGACGGGATGGTGTGAAATCAATATATATTAAAAACAATGAAGAAAAGAAAATAATAAAGAGCAACCGGATCTAGTCTTTTTAGTCCCGGTTGTATCTTTAGTCCCGGTTGGTGTTACCAACCGGGACTAAAAATAGATTTTTACTCCCGGTTTTTTCACTCGAGACTAAAGATAGCGATCTTTAGTCCCGGATTCGTAGTCCCGGTTGGATGGGGGTTACGAACCGGGAGTAAAAACCCCTTCTCCACCAGTGAGATTTTTTTTACATAAATATTTACAAGCAGTTAACATGCAACTTCTCCGACCGGCCGGCCGGTCACAGCCACAGGGGTTTGCATCTTGCATATGGAACAGAAGAAACAGATGCCCAAGTGGCCATGTGTGCAGCAGCCACAGCCAGGTAGGTAGCTGTACGTGTACTACGTACTCTACCGCTTGACCTGGGGCGTGACAGCGTGAGGGAGGCGCGGCACATTGTTCTCTACTTCTCTCGTGTATTTGTACAGGAGTACGTACGTAGTGTCAAAGTTCGTCTTGTTTGACTTTGCAAGTTACAACAAAAAAACACACAGTACAGTACTACCAGCGCTGCAGTAATGAGTACGTACGTACGTACGTATGTCGTGGCGTTATGAACGGAAACTTATGGCCACGTACCGATCGAGACGTACGTGGTGTAGATAATTAAGGTAGAGAGATCAGGAATAACCTACAAACTTAATCGATGCTAAACAACCTAAATAGCATGTTTGGTACAGTTTCAACTTTTAAATTTAGCTTCAGGAGTTGGGTCTAGAGTGGAATTATGGAGCTGCCTAAACCCAGCTGCACAACTCTAGTTTATTTTGTGAGAGAGCTCCACCCAACTCCACTCCTAGTTTTGATGGAGCTGAAATTGTTTGGCTGAGCTCCAGCTCCAGGAGGGATGGAGCTGGGAGCTGTACCAAACAGACTCTTATCAACGAAACGAACAAACTCCCGTTTATCTACAAACCAAATAAGAATAAAAAAAACAAGCCATGTCATGTCATGTTTAGAAAAAACTTTACGTGCTCTTGAGTTTTTATCAATCCTATGTCACTGATTTTTTTCTCGTCCCTGTATGCTTTTGAGTTTTCGTTTTAATCCTCACTGTACCATTCTGCAAGTTGACCTTATTCTTTTTTCAGAATGACTAAATTGTCCCTCTAATACTTATGGGCAAGCTTATTGAGGAAAAAACACAGATACCAACATGAAAATAAGATTCATTTGTTAGAAAAAAAAAGAGTAAATTGCATGAGCTATCCTTTAACTTGTAGGGATGTGTCATCTAGATCTCGCCGGAGGGGGCCAACAACCCCCTATCCGACCCCCTCCCTGCTGTACTAACTAGCGCATTAGCATGTTAGTTAGTACATTATCAATAAACATGATATAGAAAATTAATTAATAATAAAGAGATGGAGAGACAACGCAAATCAACTCCTCGTCTTCATTGCTTCGGCTTCACACGTCTCTCCGTTCTCCCATTGTGTCTCACTATGTCTCAAGTCTCAAACTGTCAAACATCCAATGATACAACTTAAGAGCTAAATTCAAGCTTTTTTAATGGCAGAACACATGATATGTTATTTTATCATCGGCATTGCTTACTCTGACTTATGATTTGTTCGCCCTGCCCACACCTCCCTAATCATAAATCCTGGCTTCGCCCCTGCCTAAACTCTCAAAATGCATATCCAAATCCGAGAACTTGTCATAGTGTATCATCTAGATCCCAAATCACCACAGCCCCTTTAGGATCCTACGTGGCGCTGATGTGGCATGCCACACGAACATGACATGGCATCATTTTGACTGACAAATGGGACCCATTTAAAATTTTTCTTTTTTCCTTCTTTCCTTCTTTTTTTTCTTTCTCCTCCTTTCTCTGTGACCCGAGAAGAAGAAAGGAAAAAAAAAAGAAGAATGAGAAGAAAACAAAAAAGAAAAGAAAAAAAAGCAAAAGAAATGAAGAAAAAAAGAAAAAGACATGTCACGTCCATGTGGCATGCCACATCAACGCCACGTAAAATCCTAGAGGGGTTGTGTCGATTTGGGACTTAGATGATACACTTTAACAAATTATGGGACCTAAATCTACATTTTGAGTGTTTGAAGATCTAGATGACACAACCCTACAAATTTAAGGACTACCTATGCACTTTACTTAAAAAAACAAGGAGATAGAACTATTTGAACATAAA